GGCTGAGGAAAATTCTTGGAAGATTATGAAACACAGTAGAAAATCCATATGTCTGTTGAGGCACATACACTTGTAAAAATCTGTTAATGCTTCAGTTTTCAGTTTGGGGTGTCAAGTTGAGTACAAGAAATGAGTTTCTTGTGAGTCCATCATGCCTAAAGTTTATTTTTAAAGTTATCTGTACTGCTAATTCATTCTCAGAAATCCCTCCCCATTTTTTACATAGTCTAAAGATGAGAGTCTATAGGAGCACAGAAGAAAAGTACTTATAATGTTTAATAACAGACCACAAGCAAAAACCTGCTGTACTGACATGATAATACAGCTAATGATCTAAAAGTTTGCTTTCACTTTAAAAAGGACTGGCAAACACAAGAAAAAAATATAGCATTCATATTAATATATTAAGAAAAGACAATAAATGGTTAACACATTCTTGTTGTAATACTTTTTTAAAGCTGAAAAAATTTAAAAAAATAAAACCATTATATGAAAAAACATGCTCAAGACAACCACAAGAATTGTCTTCTAGAAAGTCAGCATCTGGGGAGCTGGGCATTTTGACTTTCTTTATGCAATTTTCCTAACTTTCAGAACAGTCCTTGGTATACAGTAGGTATTCTATGTTTGTAAAAATGAATGAGTGAGTGAGTGAGTGAATGAGTGAGTGAGTGAGTGAGTGAGTGAGATATTTAAGGGAGCCCAGCATTGATATCACACTGGGTTACCAATGAAATTGGGGTCCCTCTCTAGGTTCTGACTCTTCTTAATAAACGAACTTAAGAATCATTCAGATAAAAGGTCAATGACAATTTTATTAGCACTTAAAAGAAAAACCACAAGGCAGCTTCACTGTAAACTTTAGTAGCTGCCTAGAGGAGGGACATGGAAAACAGGAAGCAAGAACACCATGACTTCCTGGTTAGGTGTAGAGGTTCAGCAAGCAACCATGTGGCAAAGGGGAGGCAACATAAGAGAACGAGTGAAAAGCCCAAAGTACGAGAAAAAGTTCACTTAGGTCCTGGCCCATATCCAAAAGAAAAGAAAGGAAAAGCTGTTTCTTTCTGAGTCAAGACTTAAACCTAACAGAGTTTCAGAGTAGCTGTGTGGTAACTAAGAGGATAATTATCCCGTCCATCTCCTTAGCATGGCATGAACTGAACCTGCCTTCTTTGGAGGTAGTTTCTTAACTAAGTGATTTACTGCCCTACTGGATTACCTCTTGACTTTTGCATATTTTAGACTACCAGGTGCTCCCCCCTCCTCTCAAGGCAGAGGAAGTCCCCATTCTCTTGACTAGATGGAAACAGCATTCATTCCCTTAATGGCCTCACCAGAGTCCTGATTACTGCTACTGTAACAGACAAACATATTATGGAAACTCATGAGTTCCCATGGCCTCTCCACTGAAATACAAGGAAGTTTTACTGGCTCGGTGTTCCTGGAATACTTTGAACTTTCTACCAAACAAAGACTGCCCTTTGACACTTCAGGTTAGATATAAAATACAAGATGCTGCTGGGCAAACCCATCTTCTAATCCCCTGCCAAAAAAACCAAAGTTCCCTTATTTCACAAACTAAGCATCAACCTGCTTAAAACGCCTGTCTTTATTTTCACAGTTTGATCTGCTTTTTTCCTCTTTTGATGTCTGTGCCCCCTCCTCAGCCTTCCCCTTGCTCCCCTAGCCTAGGGCACAGCAGCTGATGAGCTGTTTCTTGAACTCCATCACATGCCCTCAGTCTTAGAAACTTCTTCCAGGTCTCTGCTGGTTGCCTTCTCTCAATTCCTACAGGCCTCTGTTCAAATCTTACTTTATTGGGCAGGCCCCCTTGATGAATGTATGAAGATGAAGCCACCCTCATTCCCAACCTCTGGTATTCATCTTTTCCATTCCCTAATTATCTTTTAATAATGTACTTTCCTCTTACTTACTTATCTGCAGTGCTTACAACTTACAAGCAAGAGCCTCCAGTAAGTATATACTGAATTAATAAACAATTACAAGTGACTATGTATCACTGCAGGGGTGAGAAATATGGTATGTGGAAAGAGTGTGGTCCTTAAAATGTCTTTTCTATCTACTCACTGTATATATAAAACCTGTGGTGGTTTGAATGAGAATGGCCATCTAGCTCATATATTTAAATGCTTGGTCCCCAGGTGGTGAACAGTTTGGCAAGGATTAGGAGATGTGGCATTATTTGAGGAGGTGTGTCCCTGGGGGTGGGCTTTTAAAACCCAAAAGTTTCCCAGTTAGCTCTCTCTCTGTGTCTTCTGCTTGTGGGAAAGGATGTAAGCTCTCAGGAACTGCTCTGACAACATGCCTGCTCTCTGCCTTTCTGCCATGATGGTCATGGACTAACCCTCTGGAACTGTAAGACCACGGTAAACTTCTTCTATAAGTGCCTTGGTCATGGGGTCACTTGGAAGTAATTGAAAATTAAGATGTTACCTATGCTTCAGAATTGTCATCTGTGAAGAGGAAGAAGAATCGCATATCTCAGGCCTGAACTTGGCATCTAGCAAAGGCAGTTTTTTCTCCCTGCTAGCTAATGTCTCTGTTTTCATGGAACAAACTTCAAATGATTCACAATTTCTGAAATGACTGAAAGGAAACTTTTTTTGGTCAAGATCAGAATACTGAACAATGCATACTCCTGAGCAATACTGTCCCCAAAACTCATGCCCATTTTGCTTATGTTTGATTATAGCCTGGATATGACACACAAACTGGATACTTTCTCTCCTAAAGATGCTGTCATTTGTCAGGGAACCCAGGAAGAAATATGAGAGAGTGGCTTCATAGCAATGTAGAAATAGCCATGCAGCTACAACTGCTTCGGTAAAATGTTAATTCTGGAAAGAAGACAGAAGACATAAGATGGGAGTGTGGCCAGAGCAGGGGCCTCCAACTGAAATAGGATAGGAAACTGCAGGAAATTTCGGTGATGTCAGGCTATGAATGACTCTAGGTTTCAAACTGAACATACTGCGCTTAGGCCTGTAATTTGTGGAAAGCCACTGAAGTTTTACAATACTGGGGGAAAATGTAGATCATATGATGAGAATGGCAAATTTCAAGGCATTTGTAAAGACTTCTGAAAGCTAACCACTAAATAAGATTAATGTGCCCACTCCTACTTGTTTAGAGAGACAAAGGATGTGCTTGTAGGCAGGAATGAATAAATATGCTACTCTTTCCTGCTCTCCACTATTTGACATACCCTGGATGAGAAGGTATTGGAAGTATAGAAAATTATAAAAATCATAAGATAATACCAAAAAAAAAGTCAACACACTAAAAGAACATGAAACTTGGTCTTAAAAAACAAACAAACAACAACAACAAAAACCATGAGGACCCTTTATGAAAAATCTCCAGTCAAGGTTCCTCTCTGTGACCACCCTTAGAGTCTTCCTTTCAGCATGTTTCTATTTCCTTCTTGAGTCAGAGTAGAAAAATAATGACTCTATGAGTTCAAAATGCTTAAATTCCTATGTGTGGGTGTCAAAAGGAAAAGGTTTTCTCTATATCAAAGTCTGCTTAAAGTCTTCCATAGTACAATTCTATAACTGAACTAATCAAGGAATCAAAAAGTTTTAGGGCACAGGAAACTCTAATTTTGTGTGTCCTGGTGCTATCAAAATGCTGGCAATTTAATAACAAGATGATACTTGTATCCGCCTGGGTTTATTTTTCTACTCTTCTCACAGTATGGGCATGATTTTTTAGTCCATCAAAGAGCTTTTTATAAGATTCTCACAAGTCCCTTTTATTGAGATTTGGTAACCATGGTGTGAAAGGAAAAAATCCTATCAATGAATTAAATGAATTAAAAATGCTTAGGAGACAAAGGGGCAAAATGTAGAAATGAATGGGTAATTCTCATGTGAAGGAAGGTTAATCATTAAGGGCTGTGAAGCCTTGCAGTAGAATCAGAATTATATTTAACTATTGATAAGGAAAGGGGCACCCATTTTCCTTTCTCCTACTCTATGTGTATTAGTCCCACACACAGATCCTCCCTTGACACACAGAGCATTTGACACATGGAAGAGATACAGTGTAGAGAAGTGTTTAAAATCCAGGAAGAACAAATGGGTAAATAAATATCCAGAATTTCATGGAAGGGTCCCAAAATTCAAGACAAGGAAATAAAAGTATCATAAGCATGACTTGGCTTTCTAAGAATCAGTTTATATTACATGAAATCACATGGTCATTTGAACAAAGCTTTAGGTCATTGGCATAACAAAAGCAAATCTTCAACACTGGGTGACAACACACATAGGCATCTGGAGTCACAAATCCCACAAAGACTATTCCGACAGACTAAAAAATTTAGAAGCAAACAAATTGATAAGAAAGAGTTAGATTACTTTTTTATGCAAAATTGAAAAATTGGTATATGTTTCCTAAAAGCAAAACATGACATGAATGAAAATTTAGAAATCAAATACTCAATTAATATGACTCTTTAATAACCCATTACTTAAATAAGCATTTTCCATCACAGTAACTCATTCACACCAAGGGCTCAGAAAATCTAATGAACTTAATTTCACCTCCACATATTTGGGTTTACTTATCTGTAAAATGGGAACAACAGGACCTACTTCACAGGATGCTTGTAAGGGTTAAATGAGATGATATACAGAGCATTTAACAGAGTGAAAGTACAATTAATGTTAAATTCTTGTTGCACTTGTTGTTAGCAATTTATGATATGCTAAATCGAAACAGTTACATACTTCAAAGAGGCAACCCAGTTTAAGTCACTGTGACTGTTTATACCATTGTTAGGAGTTGGTATTTAATAAGACATTTAAATGCTTTCAAATGTTTTGTTTTTAGCAACAACAAACTATTTTATGATGGCTTTTCATTAATCAATTTGGAAATAAAGAGAACTACAAACTCATATAAAAAGAAAGGGCCCACAAAGCCTCTCACAATGAGGACAAGATAATTCATTTAGGCATCAGGTCCAAGCTTACCTTGCAGATAGGATTTTAATAAGCTCCTTTCTATTCTGCACCCGAAGATGGTTCGTTTTATACTTGGAATCATCAATCAACTCAGGCAAATTCAAGACCTAAAAGGAAAATAAATAGATATAATTCACAAGTTTTTCACATACCTTTAGGACCTGGTTAGATGCAGCATTCAGGATCTGCCTCTCACTTCTTTTCTTGTCTTTGCCCCTCTCTACAAGGGGATGGAAGCAGCAACACACAACTGAAAGAATCATATTGGTGAGTGAGTCTTGCCAATTATATGAAAGTGCTTTACTATATTTATGCATATATGCCTATATATGGGAGCACAGACAAGTTATCAGATGTCCATAATATATATATATGGATAAAGACAAGTTATCAAATCCTCAGAAGTCTTACCTAAAGGAATGTGGACAAAGTTCCTAAACTAGATAAAACTAGCCTAAAATCGAACAACAAAAAAACCTTAAGTGCCTACATTCATTTATATAAAACCTACAGTCAACATCTATCTTAGGGGCACAGACCTATTTGTTCCACATGTTAATAAAATGATATAATCTATCCCAGTAGCCCTATTCAGGATATTGTATAAGGTGCAAAAATAAAGGAAAAACACATGTATTTGTCCAAATTCTAACCGTTCAAACATAAAATGAAAAGACCTTCTTCCTGCAGGAGTGTCACTATTTTTCTTTAGTATGTCTCCCTGAAGGAACACTGACTACAAATGCTGTTACATACTTCCTCCTCTGCTGCTTCTCGCTAGAGGAAAAATCTATGGAGCAAATGTCTTTGGATCTTGTGTAGTTTTAACAAGACCATAATGATAGTACCACGTAGATTTGGAAGGAAAAGGACAAGAATGTGTGGAGACAAGAGTTTGGCAGCTGTGCTGGAAAGTCGGAAAGAGTATTTCTGGGCTGGGGGCAAGCCAGGTGCCCCGCAGAAAGCCTGACTTCCTTTATTAATGGGTTTGCTTTCAATAGAAACAGTTAAAGGTTTCACTTGTTTCCCATAGTTTAAATAAAACCAATCCATTAGTCATCTTACAAAAGAGAGAGAAGCAGGGAAGACTCCCCACAGTCAAGACCATCCCAGTGGGGTGATTCCTCTTTCACACCTGCCACTCACTTCTCCCTAAAGGCAGCATTACTCTACAGGTTTTAAAAGGTAATACTGCATGCAGTGTCCCTTCCAGAAACATCCCTGTCACTACACCTGATCCTAGAATTGGTCTCAATGCCTGACTGAGTCACAAATCTTCTGAAGATTAAATCTTCAAGGGAGAACAAGTTCTTCCCCTAAGTAACAGGCCAGATTTGCAATTCAGGCTGCATAGAAGGCATGCTACTGTTAGCTACATAAGAAGAGACCAGGTGACTCTTCCAGGAGAGCTTGGATGCCCTTGTGTCCTCTGCATTTGAGTTAGAAAACTTTTCATTTTTCAAACCTCATACAAATTTGGGGGCCAAAGTAACTATACATCTGTCCTCAGCTCTCCTGGCTGTCTAGACAGATAGCACCAAGGGCAGTGAAGGGAATCATTCTGTAGCAGCTTCAACAGTTGTTCTCCAACCTGCACATCCATGGTGTGGCACACACACACACACACACACACACACACACACACACACACACACACACATATGCACACACAAGGAATAAATAAATATAATAAATATTTTTAAAAGTATTATTAGAACATGGCTTTTAGAAAAAAGAAAAGTAAACACTGTCAAGTTCAGACCACTACATACCCTTCTGCCAGTGCAGATGCTAGGCAATTCCTTGAACAGGGTCTTGATACAAAAAGGTTTGAGATGGTGACACTCAGCCACTGCCATGACAGCCCCACTTCAGCTTTCTTTATGGCATCTCTGCTTTGATTTTGTGCTTTATCATTCTCTTACTTTAATTTGCCAGTCTCATTATACTTGAAGTGGATTTACTGGTTAGAGCATAGAATTCAATCATGGATTATCTTTATAAATAAATAATGCACAATAATTTTTTTTTTTTTGGTTTTTTTTGAGACAGGGTTTCTCTATGTAGCTTTGCACCTTTCCTGGAACTCACTCTGTACCCCAGGCTGGCCTCGAACTCACAGAGATAGGCCTGGCTCTGCCTCCCAAATGCTGGGATTAAAGGCATGCGCCACCACCACCACCCGGCACAATAAAATATCTTAGAAGGAAGTCAGTCATAATGTAAAACACAAAAGTCATTGTTTCATAAGAAATTAACAATGGGTAGAACTGATGTGTGATGATTAGAAAAAAAAAAAAATGTAGCTTGACTAACTTACATTCCTACCAGCAGTGAATAAACTACTTTCATTCTAAACATCATCAGTGATTTGATTTTGCATTTTTTAATATTCTTTGAAAAGTTTACAGATCTGTACAATGCCTTTTAATTATATCCACTTCCCAGTCCCTCCCTCCAATTCCCTCTTCCACCCCAGCCCCTGTCCATCTTCAGTCTCTCATTTTCCTTATAACTCACTGAGTCCAATTAATGTTACCATTATACCACTGGGTGTGGGGTCATCCAAAGGGCAATTGACAATACTCAATGTGGCCACAATTCAAAGAAGAGTATCTCTCTTGTCCCCAGTGGTCACAAACTGACATTAACTCCTTAGCTAGGGGTGGGAGCCTTCTCCCTGCCAGAATTTTTAATTGGCTTGATTTTGTGCAGATAACCATTGCTATTGTGAGTTGGAATGTGTACACTATGTCATGTTGAGAAGAGCGTTTTTTCATAACACTCTTCCCCATTCTTGGGATTTTACATTCTTTCCTCTTCCTCTTCTAGACTGTTACCTGAGCTTTGTGGGGGAACAATGTATCTCATCTATGGATAAACACTCATAATCACGTTCAACCCTTTGAACAGGTGAAGTCTTTACATTAATCAGCACCCACTGCAGTCAAAAGATTCTCTGCCCAAGATTGGAAGCAGTGCTGCTCTATGGATATAAACATAAATATTTAGATGGTGGTGGTTTGGCAATTGACTACTTAACAAAACAAATCAAAAGATTTCCCCTTTGAGTCGATGACTTTCCTTGTAATGTGTTTTAGCCATGTTTACAGAACCAAGAATGAATCCCTTCCCATGAAGTAGGCTTCAAATCTAATCTTTAGTGTGGCTGGTTACCCCATAAACAGTCTTGCCACTATTGCCCTAGTGGGTATATCTCACCTGGCACGGGACACTGGATTTGTGGCATGCAAGCGCCAGCACTGTGTAAAACACAGACAAATGACAGTTTAGGAGCCTATTTATCCCAGATAGGTCACCCACAACAGATCAAAGAAATGATTCCACAGATATCGAGTTTATGAACTAATAGGCTACTTATAGAAACATATAGAGCAATGAAGAGTTACTGTAAAACCACGGGTGACTCAAAAGCCTCTGAATTGCCAAAAATTCAGGAAAGCTATGTGTCCAGAACTCCCTACATGGTGTGCAAGTAGCTCATCTGGTTGAAGAGTTTCTTAATCCCAGTAATTGTCATTTATATGACATTGGGAGAGGCTATGAATATTATATCTTTCATCAGCTTCTTGAGTATTGTATGTTTCAGTCACTTTCTGTGCCTTGTTTGATTTGTTCAATTCCTGACTCTTGTAAGCCTCCCACCTCCCTCCAGGAAGTAATGTTTCCATATGGAGAAAACTGCTACATAACATTCTGTCCCTTCCTCTAGTTCAGCAGTCCTCAACCTGTGGGTCATAACCCCTTTGGGGGTTGCCCATCAGATGTCCTGCATATCAGATATTTATATACAATTCATAACAGTAGCAAAATAACAGTTATGAAGTAGAAATAATATAATTTTATGGTTGGGAGTCACTACAACATGAGAAACTGTACTAAAGGGTCACAGCATTATGAAGGTTAAGAACAACTGCTCTGTCTTTTAGGCTCTTTCTGTTCCATCTTCTGGACTGTTTCCTGTGCTTGGAAGGGAGTGATATACATGTCTGATCATTTTAATCCATCTATGACTAAATATACGCCACTACTACCACAGTGATTGCCACTAATTTTTAAGAACAGTCTTTCAGTATACTACCCACTGAAAAAAGAAGTCCCCCCCACCAGGACCGTTAGCTGTAGTAATCTATGAACCTAAATATAAATATTTGGGAGACTATTTGACAGGATTATCACACCTATTTATCAAATAATAGCAATGACCTTCCAAACCACTGACTTTTAGCTTTTCCTTCCAATCAGAAAGCAACATATTAGACCATAATAGTCTTGTCACTATTGTACCAGCAAGCACATCGTATCAGGCAAGCTGCTGCTGTAATAAACAGTGTCTAAAACTGAATAGGACTGTTGGTAATAATTCTCCCTTAGTAACCTGCATAGTGCTTCCTGGCACTAAAGAATGTGGTGATATTGTGTTCCCCAAAATATTGTGTACCCTAATAAATTTACCTGGGGTCAGAGAACAGACAGCCACTAGATACAAAGGCTAGAAAATGGTGGCACTCACACCATTAATCCTAGCATTCCAGAGATAGAAATCCCTCTGGATCTCTGTGAGTTCAAGGCCACATTGGAAACAGCCAAGCATGGTGACACACGCCTTTAATCCCAGAAAGCCAGCCTTTAATCCCAGAGAGTGGTGGTAGAAAGCAGAAAGATATATAAGGCGAGAGGATGAGAAACTAGAAGCATTTTGGCCTGGTTAAGCATTTGGCTGGTTAAGCTTTCAGGATTTGGAGCAACACAGTTCAGCTGAGATTCATTCCAGATGAGGACTCAGAGGCTTCCAAGCTGAGGAAACAGGACCAGCTGAGGAATTGGCAAGGTGAGATAGCTGTGGCTTGTTTTGTCTCTCTGATCTTCCAGTGTTCACCCCAATACCTGGCTCAGGTTTGATTTTATTAGTAAGAACCTTTAAGATTCATGCTACAAAAGAAAGCCAGTAAATAGGTGAGAGCTTCCAGTTTGGTCTCAACCTGATCTCTCTATGTCCTGTAGCAAAAGCATGCAGTGTCTTTAACAACATGAACTTGCCACCTGGTTGTAACCTGTAACCAATGGTGGTAGTGACAGCCTTTAT